TTTCATGAAGGCTCAAAATTTTTCCTCTTCGTTTTTTGGCATTTTTACATTTTTAAAAATTTTGATTTTTATAAATGCGATTTTATTTACTAATTTTTTTTTAATTTTATTATAAATTATTTATGCTAGCCAAAATCACAAAATTTTGCATTCATATTCTAAATAACCTAAGCTACAAATTATTATTATTATTATTATGTAGGATTTTGGGTAAATTTGAGAAAAAAAAATGATATCGCGATTTTCGTTGATTTCGGATTCTTTTAATTAAAATATTTCTAGACGTTCTAAGAGTATCAAAATTTACATGTATGTTCGCTAAAAACTAGGCCGCAAATAATATAAATTTTATATACAATTATTATGTGTAATTTTACGCAATCAGTAAAAATAGGTATCCGAAAACTTTGTCTAGGGTGTATATAATAATAAAATATTATTTAGATTTATGTAACCATGAAAATCTTCCATACGTTTTATAATTTTCCATTTTTAGAAAATTTTTAATTAATTTATTTATTAAGCAAAATATTCCGAGGTTAAGATTCGGAGTGGATGGAGAGAGTTGGGAAAAATATTTGTTTACATGTATATTTGTAAGCTATTATTATCACTATTATTATATAAAAGAATAAGAATAAGAATAAAAGTAGCAGCGATGGTTATAATGGTTACGGTTTTAGCGGTGATGAAATTTATATAAAAGACGAGATAACTATAATAGGTGTTAGTCAAGTTGATAGAATGCAACTTCAACAACATCTTTGTAATATTTGGAGAGAGAATTTTTCTTCACCGATAAAGAAAAATTGAAAATGACGGTATCGAAGTTTTAGATGTTGGGTAATGTATATATGTTATATGTGTGAATGCATGCGTATATGTTGAATATAAATTTATAAATATGCCAAAGAATTTTATTTTCATAACATTCTCTCTTTCTCTCACTCTTCACCCCCCCCCCCCCAATTTTCCATTCTCCCAAATCCAATTATATAGATGCGGTTTCGCAACATGGATTTGTGACATAGCATTAGATTATCCGTTATTGGAATTCGTGGAAATAGATATTACACCTTTATTCCCGACGCAGGGAAAATTTTACGAGAAAGATTTACTGAATATTCTACCGTTCGCCGACAACCCTTTATACTTGTCGATCGAGAAATGGTAAAGTATTTCGATACCGGAGCTCATAAGAGTATTGAAACCTGGCGGTTATATCGAATGTGACGAGGCAGGAGTTTGTTGGCATAATCTTTTAGTCAATTATAGTTATTTATATATATTATTATTATCATGTTGAACAAAATAAATTAGGATGGTGATTTATTTAATTTATGTAATTTTATATTGCTACCACTCAATTCCCAATTCTCAATTCTTTTCTCTCTTCTATATAAGAGTTATCTATTGGAACATTATTTGAAGGAAATTGATAGTAAAGTTTAATGAAAAATTATACCAATGAAATAAAGGTTACAAAGCATATACTGTACATCGTAGATTTTATATCACAAAAAAAATATATAAGAAATGCGGGGGGTTTTTTTTGAGAATCATTCACATTTAAAAAATAAAATGAATTACAAATTAGTGTTGTTATTGCTTGAAATCTAATAATCACAAAATTTCGCGAATAAATAAATGCATATTTCTTGAAAGTTTTTGATCCCCTTATAGGAATTACATTAAAAAGAATTATTTCGATAATTTTTGTGCATAATATCGATGTTGCTTTGAGTAGGTCCTATATAAAGATCTTTCATTGGCGTAATTATTTAATAGCTCGTCGACCTGTGATTCGCTACAATTCAATATATCCATGATCTTCCTTTTTATTCCACCATAAAAACTGTCAGTAAGTTCGCCCGTTAAATTGCCTAACAAGCCACCCCAACTCCCACATGGTATGGTTTTTTCCTGATGATATATATCGCCTAATTTTTTAGTGCTACTCATAATTTGAGGAAATTTCTGGGTGATATTTGGGTCCATTGATTTTGATCTTAGAATCTGATTTACTATAAGAAATTAATCAAATTACGCGAAATGAGTGAGTGAAAGAAATTTTATTGGTGATTTTAATTTTAATTTGTTTTCCCTTCATTTTTTACCTGCATCACTTATAGTTGTTGCGGCAGGGCCACGATTATACATTACAACCTCTGCGTCTATATAAATACAAAAATAATTAGTGTGACATTATATACAGCACACGTGCTGATTAATACAAGTTTTTTAGGTTCTTTAATCTACCTTCTAATTCTATCCATCCTCCTGGTTTTATAACACGGACCAATTCTATATATGTAAAAATTGTATATATTTATTTAGATAAAAATAATAACAAAATAACAATAACAATAATAAAATTTGAACCTTGCAATATGAATGTGTTCCATTGTTGCTCAGAAAAACAAAAAACCATATGACGAATCCTGACAAGATCAAAAAAATCATCTGCATACATACACATACACACACACATATATATATAGAATAAATAATATGCATTATTAATATTTTATAACATTTATAATTATATATATGTACCTCTGAAAGGAAGACCGTTAAAGATGTCCGTCTTTATAAAAGCAACATTGGTGGGTTGCAACTTGGGAAACAGCTCATTGATGTCTACACCAAAAAATTTCGACTGCTTTTGTTGATAAATTTATAATTTTTAGATGAAATTTTTGTTTTAGAAGTTATAATTTTCGAAAATACTGTTCTTACCTTGTATTCGCTGGCCATATCACAGACCCAGGTACCTAAATATAATAATTTGAAGAATTATTATTTTGCATTTTATTATCTTTTAAAAGGATGAGTTAAATATGTGCGTGCGTGTGTATATATATGTACCTGGACCACACCTAATGATTTTCAAATAGATAATTAATGATTTGTTTTTTCTTATTATTATTAGTATTATTGTTATTATTATTATTATTATTATTATTATATATTTATATCAATTTTCGTTTTTTGTAAAAAAAAAAAAATAAAAATAAAAAAAAAAAAAAATAAGAAAATAAATTTTGTCGACTTTAAATTAAAAAAATTTCTATTTTTGAAAAACAAAAAGTAAATTAATTAACAATACGGCCATTCATTAAAGCTATTCATTAGCAATAATGATTCATTATTTATAAATTTTTTTCTAAATCATCTGAAATTTCTCATACAACAAAAACAACAAAATAAATTGAATAATAATAAATCGAATAAATTTAGTAAATATAATATATTGAGCATATTTCAATTATTATTCTAATTAAATTCTGTCAAAATTTATTTAGGATTCTTGGGAAAACAATGGTAAATATAAAATCATTTATTTTATTATAACAAATATTTAATTAATTAGAAATATTTCCTAATTCATTAATTACTTGGGAAGAAGATTTAGAGTGAATTTGCTTTTTTTTTTTTTGTAATCTTAATGCTTTACGATTCAGTGAGCGATTTATTTTTTTGAATAAAGAAAATTTAAGGTAATTATTACGATTAATTACTATGTTTATGAGTCTATCCATTCATCCGTCATTCACTAATCTATTTCTTCCTTCCTTTGCCCATTCATCAATGTAAATAACTCTTGTTCATATTAAATTATTGCCAAGCATACCATACTTGCACTTTCATTACATAATGATTGTAATTGTAATTATAATAACATTAGTATTATCATTTTATTTTTTATTCTTTATAATTTTTTTTTTACACGAATTCAATTCAAAAATTATATTAAAACCATGTGAATTTAATATTAAAGTGATACCGATCATCATAGTTGCACAATGCATATATGTATATATATACCAGAGTTTTCGAAATTTTATTTTATTTTTAATAATGCAGATCATCCTGTTGAACTCCTTTAAATAAGAAAATTTTCATCTCGATCTTAAGGATCCCTTAAAATGCTATGGAATCCTTAGTTTTTATGGATTCTCTAAATTTATTGGATCCTTAAGGGTTCTTTAGTACAGAATCTTCTATATAATTAAAACCAAACTATGCTTAAAATAGTTTTTTCTGTCACGCGGAATTGGTTTTTACAAAAAAAAAATTTTTCAAAATGTAATGTAAATAAATACGTTTTCTTTTTTGGATTAATAAAAGAAAACAATATTTGAAAAAGTAGGGTCTTGAAAACAACAACTATTATTACTCGACCACTAGATTATTTTAAAGTCTTTGGAGTATTGTTGTTATTGTTATTATTATTATTATTATTATTATTAACTTGTATATATTTAAAAAAAATAGAAGGATTAATAAGAACTGTTGGTTTATTTCATTTCATTCATTAATTAAAAGACGATAAAAATAAGAATATGTTCACAAAATAAATATATGAAAAAAATATTCCTAAGACCTCGAAAGGATAGGTATTAATATTGGAACAACGATAAATTGGCTAAATAGGAATTTGTTTTATTTTATATAATACATCAATTAATACTTTTCTTATTGTTCTTAGTTACAATAGAGAGCGATTCAATCTTTGAAAAAATACATCCAAATTGTATTGACGTTTTTGCATTTGATCAAGTTCCAGCTATACTTCATATGTTGCAGGTGTATTGATTGCTTCAAGAATGAATCTAAGTTCTAATGGAGAGCAGCCAAAGATGCGTAACGAAAGAAAAGGCATGGTGCATGACAGTCTATGGTCCTTGAAAGTAGAAAGCCAAAAGAAATGAAAATAGTATCAAAAGAAAGAGGTTTATGGAGATCTGGCCTTATGAGAATGTATAAAAGTTGTAAGAATCATGGACTCTCTGATCAGCTAGAACGACATAAATTTAAAACTTTGTCATTGGAAGCAGATTTTATAGAACAAAGCCTACATTTACAAGAGACTGTTGAGAATGCAGGACACAAAATCTTTTTTTTTTCACCGTTATGAACTAAATTACATTGAAAATTCCTGGGGTGCTGCCAAAAGCTATGCAAAAAAAAACTGTAATTACTCATGGAAAAGTTTACAACGAACTGTTCCATTAGTCCTTGATTCTATTTTTCTCTTTAAAATTCGTAAGTTTACAAGAAGATATTATAGGTTTATTACGAGTGACTATAGAGTGAGGCTTTCTGATAAAGATGATATTTTTTGCAGTTAAAAAGTATCACTCTCACAGAAGAGTACCCGAATCTGTTTTAATGGAATTTCACGAATCAACGTAACGTAAATCGCGGGATTATTCTTTATATCGCGAAAAAATCATGTAGTGATTGGCAGTGATTTTTATAGTGAAGATGACAAACTTTAAACTGTCGTAACTTTTTCCATTTTAAATCTTTCTATTTACATTTTTTCTAGGGTTTTATAGAATAAAACTGTTTTTTTTTATCTTGATTGATTGCCGAGCTTATACATTTTAAAGTTTAGTCGAAATTAGGGTTGTTAACAGTCCAGACCGGTTTAGTCTAGTCCAAAGACCGTCAGACTAATCAAAGGACCGGTCCGTGGTCCAGACTTAGGGTTTATATTCGAATAAAACAAATGTAACGAATGAAACAAATAAATGATTGAGAACAAATGACTCGAATAAAACAAATGGCTTGAATAAACAAATGACTCAAATGAAATAATAAACAAATGAAGCAAATTACAAATGATTTAAATAAAACGAATAAATCAAGTAATTCTAATAAATGAATTAAAAAAATGATTCGAATAAAACAAATGATTTGAATAAAACAAATGATTTGAATCAAATAGTTAAAAACAAATAATAATTCGAATAAAATGAATATCTCGAAGAATTTGTATTACCTGAATTTCAGAAGGAATGGGCATTCATAGAGACAATGGATGAACTTTGATTTATATAAAACTGTATATATTCTTTTTTTTTTTTTTTTTTTTGAATATAAGAATTTAGTTATGATAAAAAAAAAAAATTCAAACAGTCCAAACGGTCTTTGATACCTAAGACCAGATCGACTCGGTCCGCGGTCCAGACCTCCAGTCCATTCAGTCTGGACCGGACCATTAACATCCCTCCCTAGCCAAAATTTTTGATGCTTGTTCATTTTCACAAAATCACTTTTACATAAACGGTTATAACTCATCATCATACAGATGAGATTTTTTAATTCTAAAAAAATATTGAGCTTGAAAACTATGCGTTACAAATGCCTACTGATGCAAAATTTAAACATAGAGTTGTTATACCAAGTTCTTACGGATTAAAATCACTTTTAAATTTTTTTTTTCTAGCTATTCTGCTTCCAAAAATTATAAGTCTTTTAAGATTTCGATTGTTAAAATCAATTTATTTATTTATTTAATTTCTAACTCGTCATTTCTCTCTAATGAACATAATAATATTGATGTGCTTTCATATTGAAAATGCAATTTTCGTCATAGATTCTAGATAATTATCAATACATATAAATTTAAAAAATCATATTAAACAAAAAAAACCACTGCTACGTTATAGAAATTTAATTTGAAATGTCGATCCTTTTTTTTTACGGAGGAAATATTTTATAGAATGATCTGCAAAAATCTTATCGCGTGACGGGATTTTTCGATTTCATTTTTTTCTCACATGAGGACACTTCTAGCGTCATTTTGCTTTTTTTAAAGTTTTGGAGTTTAATCAGAGTTTTGAAATAGTTTTATTCGAATAAAAGTTCCATCATTGAACACTCAAATTAATTATATTTACACGAAGATAAAAACTTTTCATATATATATGAAAAATTTCACTCATCTCTATATACATCCCCAAGAGTAACCCCTTTTTTTCGATATTCTTAAAAAAAAAAATGCATGGATATATTCTTTGACATTTATTTCATAGCGCAAAATAAAAATATATTATTCTATTGTACCAAAGTATACTATTGTTTTTTATACAAAGTCGTCAACTAGCTGACCCCTATTTAGAGTTCACTCATACATTCATAGACGGATCCTTAATTAAATGCTTTTAAGATTCCGATAATTAAAGAAAATCGCTTTTAATAATTGTTACAACTCATCATACAGATGAGATTTTTTAATTCTGAAAATATTTTAAACTTTGCAGAACACGTCTCTACAGCATAACAGAGTCATACTTTCATTTAATCTACAGTTGACTCTGGCTATATAGAACCTGGCTACACCGAACTCTGGATATAGCGAACCAAAATCGCATGACCGAATTTTTATAATTAATAAATCTGTTTATAACGGATCCGAACTCACCTTTTTGAAAGTTCATCGCATGAACACATGTATTATCATGTGTAACATAATGCAAAATTTCGTTTTTGATTAAACATTTTAGATATAAAAAAAAAAACGTAACCTTTGCCACTCGGTTCAATCAAACTATTATATTATTAATAATATTACGCCAAGGCTTTTGTAAAAAAAAGAAATCACGTGATTAGTAATTTTAATACTTTATTATGTATTATAAATACCCACGATTTGGTAGCAATACATAAATTATATTTCATAATCCTTTATACTTTGGTTTCTTTTATTTATTTCTTTTTATTTCTATTCATTTGTTTCTCAAAATCACTATTTTGGGAATAAAATGACTGAGTAGCTCTGACAGTTTATTTTTATTTGAATATAATGTTGTGTTTGATTTGGATTCATCTATTTATCAATCTTCTTGATAGATTGATAAGATTATAAGATTTTTATTTATATTTATATCTACATTTTATTTATATAATTTCATATTGATAAAATAATTCTTATAAGCTTTCTGATCAATAAATATAATAAACGGCTATTGAAGAAAATCCACCAAATTATATATGTTACCATCACGTGACAAATCTAGCTGGCTATATATAACGAACAAAAATTCTCAGGACAGGAGATCCGGTATAAACTGAGTCAACTGTATACATATTTTGGTGGTACAAAATACTTACTAGTTGATTTTACGAACAAATTTTTTAAATCGAGCGAGATGTAACAGTGAGTTTCGTGAAATACAAGTCCTAGTTATAGTGCAATGATATTCTTTGAATGACACATTGATCGAATAGTCTAATAAATCACTACGAAAACATATAAACATCCATGCTACCCCACTTGTGGACCAAAAAATCTCAAAAAACGGTGCATTGGTTTTGCTTTTTACGTTGAAAAATTATTGAATAATATTTATCGTTTAAATAAACATATTTCAACAGTCCTAATAGCTACGGCCATACATAGTGAAAACCACCGGAACCCGTCCGATCTCCGAAGTTAAACC